ATGTTGCCCAAAAAGGAAAAAACAAAAAAAAAGAGACACCAAAGTCTCAGAAAATAGAACAAGTGGAAAAGTTGTCTAAGAAATATGAATAATGAAAAGAGAAGACAAAGAAAAATTAGAGAGAGTATTATTAACCAAGTCAATAATACATATTTTGAGAAATCTATATTTACTTATCTTTGACATAATATGAACCTATTAGTAGAAGCAACAGACTTGTTGAAAATTATATCAATAATATATAAAATTAATACTGTCTATTTACAATTTCTAATAATAGCTTACTTATTCATCTTTGTTAATTCAATTATATAAACTTATATTATGAGAATGGCTCTATACTATATATATAATGGAATTGAATTCAATCATTTTTCAAAACCAATATTATAGTAGAATTACTAAATAATATATAATAAATAATTAGAATTCATATTTAATTCAGAATCATATTGTTGATCAAATTTTTTTATAGTAATATGAATATATATATAGTCCACATATTAGATGGAACAAATTCAAAAGGTGGGAAGTCTTGCCATTAGTTTAAATCTATCTTTCTATTAGATTCAGATTTAATAATCTTATGGCTGCTTATGATTAAAATCTATAAAGTATTATTATAGAAATCAATTTCAGTTACTCTAATCAATTGTTATCATTAATCCTTAGGATATATTACTAGTATAGTATAGTACAATTGTTCTTATTGTAACATATTCAATATTAAAGACAATATAAACAAGATATTGTTTATAATTATAAAGAAAACTTTTTATTAAGAAGAAAATCAGATAATTTTATTATTTTTTAAAGAAAAAAGAATACCTTTAAATATATATTTTTTCAATATACAGTAAATAAATATAATAAAAATATATAATTAAAAATACACATATAATCTTATTAGTTCTTCAGAAAATCATATACATTTACAGTACCAGTTATAAGTAGCTGACCTAGTATATTATCTGAAGTTAAGTAATAATACCCTTCAAAAATTTTAAAGATTCAATGGTAACACTAACCCTAATCTCTCATATATTTGTAGATTTGTGTGACCTTTAGACCAGGAATTAGATAATTGACAAACTTTTTCCCTAAATTATGACCCTCCCATTTCATAAGCATTACGAGATCATATTTTTACATGAACATTTGAAGGTAGAGAACTTGAGCTTCTCAAAAATAGCAGTTTATATTGGATACAGTAAGTTCATGGTTATTTATTGAATATAAAGATGACAGATTTTGAAAGATCTAACTGAAGAACCAAAATCTGATTGGTAGCAAAGTACAATAGCGAAGCAAGATAAACAAATCGTAAAGATGGTGAAGACAGAACACAATATAACAAGTATCAAAATACAAGGAATTATGGAAAAAAAGGATATTGACATCAGTGCAAGAACTATTAGGTATTATCTTTATAAATTTGGAGACAAATATATTAACAAAATTTTGAAACCTCTTTTTTTGGAGAACCACTAGAAAAAATAACTTGAATAGGCATAGTTACATCAAAATTTTGACTGGAATCAAGTCATTTTCACAGACAAGAGTACCTTTCAAATATTCTCATTAAAAAAGAAGATGTGGCAGTTTGACAAAAGAAAAAAAATATATTATACTGTCAAACATTTAGTGAAGGTCCATGTATGGAGTGTTTTTTGGCTTTGGAGTTTAGTAAGCTGGTGTGTTTCCAATGAAACCTTAATGGTGAATTTATGTGTAAGATCTATAAGCAGAGTCTTTTACCTTTCTCCTCTGAATTTTTTAGTATAGGAAACCTAGTCTGGTTCTTGCAAGAAGATAATGATTTGAAGCACTATTCGAAAATTGCACAAAATTAAAAGGCAAAAGAGAATATTAGTGTACTTCCATGGTCATCAATATCACATGATCAAAACCCTATAGAGAATGTGTAGCAAATAATGAAATTGAATATTGCGAAAAAAAAAAATTCGATTAGTTAAAGGGTTATTAGTGTGTTTATTAATAGAATAGAACCATCTTTCACTTAAACTTGCCACTAAATTAGTAAATAGTATGCAATGTCATGTTATGACATTATTAGAATCTCAGGGAATTATATAATGTACTAAAGATCAGCGTTAATGATGTAATTTTAAAAAAAAATTTTTTTAATGATTTATTTAACTTTTGAGGAATTAGAGTGGGTCGGCTATTTATGACCGGCACTGTATAAGATATTTGACTATCTCTGCTGATATCTTCTTCCTTCTTAAAGTGTTAAGATTATGTGTTACCATTTGATTCATTTTTTTCTCTTGTATAGCTTTACCTAATCTCTTTTGCATTCATAATCTTAGGAATTTTTCTGCTTTTTCTTCTTCACTCGCCATAATCTAACTGCCCATTAGGCTCACCTTTAGGTTCTTTCTTTTTGTATTAAGTACAATTAGTTTAGATTTATCTGTATTGACTTCTATATCATTTATGCTATAGAACTTTTCTGCTATTTGCAATATTTTTTCCCTTTCGCTATCCAAGTTGTATAATCCATGTAAACTATACTTTCTATGGTGATTTCTTGTTCTTTTGTTTCACTTATACTGTAATTACTTATTCATTTGTTATTTATATTATAACCATATCTCAATTTATTTATTTTACTGATTAATGGATCGTAGAATATTTTTCATAGTAAGGGAGACATGGGGTTCCCTTGATTTAATCCATCTTTGATTCTATATTCTTGGATTATTCTATACTTTGTGATTATGTCTATTGTTTTGTTCTCTCTTATTTCTAAAATAATTCTTATCAATTTTGTTGGGATACCTATTTTGTCTAGGATTGTTTCCAGAGCTTTTTTCCCTACTGAGTCAAAGGCTTTTTTCATGTCTTGGAATAAAATTCACATTTCTTTATTATTAATTTGTATATTCTCTATCAAATTTTATAAGATTATTTTTGGCTTGGCAGTTGATTTTCCTGTGATACCTGCCTAATTGTTTTCTTGTAAAACTTTGCTTGTGATTATTATTGTATCCATTCTCTTCATCATTATTTTGAATAGGATTCTCCTTTCTGTCTCTATTAAAGCTATTGGTCTTAACTTGTCCATTTTTTCCTGCCAGTTCTCTATTTTGGGAATCAGATAAATTTGTAAGTGCTTCTACTCTTTTGAAGTTTCACCTTTTTTTAATATATTATTAAGCAGTTCTCTAAAGCTTTCTTGCTCTTGTTCTCTACAGTTCTTTAGCATTTTATATAATATGTCTTATGCTTCAGGTGCCTTATTATTCACTGTTCCTTTTATCATCTCTTTTAATTCTTCTTTCAATATTGATTCCAATAGTTTATTTTTTTCTCTATCTTCTATTTTAACTATCAGATTTTTGTATTCCTCCAGTTATGTTCTCCAATACTCCTCTAACTTCTACTTCCTAATTTTGTTTTGTTGGTCGAAATGCTTCTGTATCAATTCTTTAATTTTTTCTTCTTCTAACTTTATATGTTTTGTGACTTGATCCCATACCCTATCGATTTGCTTCTTTGCTATATTACATGCCAAGATGCTTGATATCAAGTTTTTCCATTTTTTGTTCTCTTGCCATTTCTTTGCTTTTTTTTTAATTGCCTCCAGAATCCATTGTTTTCTTAGGGATCTAGCTTCAATTTTACATAGTTTTCTTATACTCCTTCTCTTTTGTTCTGTTTCAATCCTCCACTTGCTTACTTTTTCTGCTGTCTTTAGATATCTTAGTTCTATTTTCATTTCTGGTAATGCTTTAATATATCAGTTGATTTTGTTTCTCTGATCAACTAATTCTCATTTGTTTTCTATTTCTTTTGCAATATTTATTATTCTGTTTAATTTCCTGAAGGCTATAAATTGTGCTATTTTAATCTTTTTGTTAAATACTTATATGTCTGTCTTGAGGGTCTTTTTTGAAATAGTTCTTTTTGTTACTTTTCTCCATCTCTTTTTTATTTCTTTCCATCTATAGTTTATATCTTCTGTTTCTTTTCCACTTTTGTTATTTTTTACTCAATCCTTCTTCTCTTATGTTCTCCTTAAGTGATCTATTTGTCTTCTCCATTCTTTTCATTTCTCCTCATTCATTTGCTTATAGTTGTATACTTCTCTTTCACATGTTGTTTTTATTTTTTTAATTTCTTTTGTAATTGTGTATATGTCAATTTCTATGAAAACTGCCTTGTGGTCTATATTTAAGTGCTGTCTTATGTCAGATATGGTCACTTCTTTACACAGCTCCTTCATGCCCTCTGAAAGCCATATCATATCTATTCTGCTTTTGGTCTTGTTGCCCCATATAAATTCCCTTGTGTTTTTGTTGTATTGTTTAATATATTATATAATTCAAATTCTTTAAGCATTTCAATCCACTCTTTTTTTCCCTTTGGCTCCTTTTCTCCTATTCTATCTATACTGTCTTTGGTTGTTGTATTCATGTCTCCCATAACAATAATACCTATTACTTGTTTTTTTCTCTACTTTCTTAAAATTTTTTGTATTTCAGTTATCATTTCTTTCCTTTTTTGACTTAATTGTGGAGATATATATATCTGTATTACTCCTATACTGTATCTTTCTTTGAATATTAGTTCTATAGTCAGGATTCTTCCCTGCCACTGTATTATCTTCCCTATATATTTTGCTCAATCTTTTTGTACTATTAATCCCATCCCTCCTGCTTGCTTTTTGGTATATGCCCAAAATACTTTGTATTTATTGTTTCCTATTGACTTTTTGTTTATTGTTTTTTTGAATTTGATATCTGATATTCCAACTATTGTTATATTGTTCTAATAGTAATAGTGTTGCAGTTGTTATTTTTTAAACTCATTATTCAGTTCATTTATATTATTGTCATAATTTTTATATTCTCCATATTTGTTTTTTTTTTTCTTTGTATATGTTAATATTTGTTGTTTTTATTTATTTGTTGTTATACTATTATATTTAATTATTTTGTTTTGATATGCTACTTTTCCAATTGCTTTAGTGATTATTGTTTCTTTTTAATAATTGTTAACTGCTTATTTTTCAATAGTTCAATTAGTATTCTTCCCATGTGTTCAATTTGTTTCTCCAACCTGCTTTGCCTTGCCACTACTTCTTCATTAATTGTCTTATATACTGTCAAAAGAATTTCATTCTCTTCAGTATTTATTTCTTCCATATCCTAATATTGTGTTTGCTATTATTCTCTTCTTTCTTTTTTGTTCTCATCTTCTTCCTGTTTTTCTTGTAATACCTTCCACCAGTTCCATAATGTATTGATTTTTTTTTCCATACCTTCTATTTTCCCTTGTTTTTCTTTTTCTTCTTTTTTATATACTGATTCTGATCTGCTTCACTTTTTCAAAATTTCTGCAAATGATATAGATGCTTCTCTTTTAGGTCCTTTCCTAAACCTGGATTGAATAGATGCGAATCTTGTTTATACCATTGCTTTGTCTCTTTGAATTCTCATCTCTCCACATTGGTAAGCTATATGTCCACTTTGTCCACATTTGTAGCATAGTTTTTCATACTGGTCTATAAAATTAACTGTCACCCATTCAGTTTGAAGGTTTGATTCTCTACTGCTTTTAATTAGTCATCTGTTTCGAATGCTACATATGCAAATCTTTTCTTAAAGTATCTACTTGTTCTTGGGATGTACAGGGTTTTCTGTTTGTCTCTTTTATTATTTCCTTCAGATCATATGCTATGATATCTGCTGACAATCCTACCAATTTAAACACATATTTGGATCTATTTACGAGTTCATCTTTTTCTTCACATTTTGGGAGTATTCTTAAATATTCCTTTTCAAAAGGGATTAACCATTCCTTTACCAAAAGTTGTGCATCTGTTTCCTTATTGTAGATCACTATTGCAGTTTGCCACAGTTCTACTATACAGATGTCCACAATATGAATATCATCAAACTTTCTTATTGTTGCTTTAATTGTTCCTTCACTAGTTAAAAGGGAAATATCTCTGACTATCACTGTGTTTCTCTTTTCTAATTGGTGTATCTTTTGTTCTGTTGTAGTTAGATATTCTCTATTTTTATCTATATCAAAGTTGATACTACATGCCTCCTGCATGTCAATGAGATTATCGAAATTGGCAATAATCTTCTTTTTTTTTCCACCACTTCTCTTCCAACTCTAATCCTCAAGAAAGAATCAAAGACTATATATGCTTTCTCCATCATATCTGCCATTACTGCTGATTCGATGCCTGTTGCCAGTTTCAATTTACAAGTATATCTTAATTTTTTTCCTATTTCTTTGGACTTCCTTTTATTCTTTTGCTCCACTTGCTTTGCCTAAGTATAGGATTCCATTTTTCTTTCTCTAATATCTGGTTCTACCTTGCTGATGCTCACTTCCTCCACCATTGGACTTGTCACTTCAATCTCCATCTCTTGTTCTTCTATTTTTTTCTTTGAATCTTCTTCATTTATTATTTCTTTACTTTTTTCCTTTCCCATGTCCATACTTGTTGCTCGTATTGGTATTTTTTTTCTTTCCTCTTTGTCCAAGCTTTTGGGTCTGCCTGGTTCTTTTTTGCCAATAGTGATTGCCTTTACTTGTAAAGTCTTAAATAAATTATTAATGATTTAAAAAGACAATGAACTTGAGCAATTGTAATTTTAACACCAATAGAGTTGGGACTTTATTAAGGTCAAAAGTATATCCTTTTATATTTGTTAGCTTCATACAATATAAAAATATATAAATAAATAAATATAAAAATACATATATCTATATTAGGCTTAATCTCTGAAGACATATGTACTTAATTAATATAATAAAATGAAAAAGTAAATAAAAAGAAATAAAAGGAAAAAGATATGTACACTTTATGGCCTTATGCTTCTAATTTGGTTATATTAATCCATAGTAATTAATTAGTGGTGCTTGGTGATATGTCATATTATCAAGGGTCAGAATCACACTATACATATATCTGACAGTTGTCTAGAAGCATGTTTCAGACTTGCAGGTCATCAGGGGCAGATCAGATACCTTCCAGGGTATCTGATTTACAGGGCATAATATGAATTCCATGGCACAGTTAAGGTTAGAATTGTTATATTCTCCCTTCCTTAGAATTCAATGTTCTTATTGACTCAAATTCTTGGAGTTTTTCTTAGGTGTTGATTAGATTTTCTTGAGATTTCCAGGTAGTGTTATGTAATAGGTATCTGATCCACTTAATAAGATATTAGGGGTTGTTTTGGACAACTCGCTTGTCCAATATGGCTTCTACTTCATATTCTTCTGTCCCAATCGCAGGAATATAGATGGCTGGTGGTGGTGTTGGTCTTTCAAATTCCTCTGGTGATGGCTTGTATGGCTTGAGTAATGAGACATGGAACATAAGGTGAATCTTTAAGGTGGCAGGCAGCTCCAGTTTGTAGGCAGTTTTTGAGATAACCTTGGTAATGGTATAGGATCTGGCAAATCTCAGTGTCAACTTCTTGATAGGATGGTGTAACGGTGTATCGGCAAGTCTGTCGCTCACTCTAGCGGAGATTCGCGTAACCATTACAAGGGTAAAATAAACGAAAGGTGATTTTGAGGCGTATTATTTGATCGAGTCTTTATTAATTTCCTTTTACTCGCTATCACTACCTGTAGTATGACTCTCCTCTATCTCTTACATTTTCTATGTTATTTATACTTCTCTTTTGTTACATCTAGCTATGACGTCTTGGCTATGGAATAATAAGCGCTAATAATAAGAATGTCATGACTAAGCTGGATGACATAATTCTTTCTACAATTCTTCCCGACTCTCTCTTTATTACCTAATATTTTATAGTCGTCGGGGTACTAATGCGACAATTGATCACGTGATAAACGTCGCGTCCTAATTTTACCTGTTACAATGGTTTTGATCCACAGGGTTGTTAAAGTTTCGTAGAAATAGTAATACTTGATCTCCTTCTTGAAACATCAGGTGGCATCAGTATTGATTGATATATTTTATTTGGCAATCTTGTGCTTTCATCAGAGTATTTTTGGCAATCTTTATTATAATATTTCAGTGATGCATGAAGTCATCAGCAGTTGGCATGGATGTTGGTGTCGCAAGTGTCAGGGCATCTTAGAGTATTGTCCACAGTCTAACTCGAAAGATGTAAAACCCATTGATACTTGTTTGGTATTGTTGTATGCAAACTCAGTAGTAGGCAAATACTTATCCCATTGGTCTTGCTTGTATGTGATATATATATGCAGCATTTCTTCCAAAGTTCTGTTGAGACATACCATTTGTTCATCTATTTGGAAGTGGAATGCTATTGATATGATGGTTTTGTATCCAGTTGTTGAAACAGGGCTTGCCAAAAATGACTAGTAAATCAAGCATCTCTATCTGACACAATGATTCTTGATAATCCATAGTGTTTAAAAATTTCAGAAAAAAAGATCTTGGCGACTTCCGGTGCAGTGGCAGAGATATGTATTGAACTAAAGTGAACTCTCTTGGATAGGCGATCAATAAACACAACAATGGCATTATGTCTCTTCTTGGTAAGAGGTAATTGAACAATGAAATCCATGGTGACTTCTTTCCATTTGTGGTTTGGCATTGGCAGGGTTGTAGTAGTCCAGTAGGCTGTTGATTATTAGGTTTGTTTCGCTAACATAGGTCATATATTAGTACATATTTTTATATATCCTTACTTATTTTGGGCCAATAATAACTTCTCATAATGGCATCCAGGATTTTGTCAATATTCAGGTATTTGGCGATATTAATGTTATGGTATTCTCTAAAGATGTAACTTCTCAACATCTTATTCTTAGGGATGGCTAAGCAGTAGTCTTTTTTCAGGTAGATACAATCAGCATTCAATTCAAAGTGTTTGGCATAGGTTTTGTTTCTCTATGGCTTGGGTTGGGTCTCTTAAGGTGATTAGAATTTTGGAAAAATATTTGTCACTAGTGTATTCTTCTTCAAAAGTCTCATTGTCTGCTAGTTTGGTAGCAAGTATAGAGATAGTAGCAAGATGTGGCTGTCTGAAAAGGGTATTTGCTATAACATTAGTCTTTCCTAATCGGTATACAACTTTAAGGTCATTGGCTTGAAGGGTTTTCAACCATCTGGCTTGTTGTCTGGACAAATTTGATTGGATTTTGATATATTCCAAGGAGGTATGGTTAGTGATAACAGTAAAACATTGCTCTTTCAAATACATGTGCCAAAGTCTAATAGTATGCACTATGGCTAACAGCTCCTTTTTGTGCATAGAATAGTTTTGTTTAGCTGATAACAACTTTCTGGATTCATGTGCAACTGATTGTTTTCCTTTTTCATAGTCTTGGGTCAGTACAGCTCAAATAGCAAAGTCAAAGGCATTCTTGATAATGGTGAAAGAATTATTTGGGTCAGATAAGAACAAAACTGGGGCTATGGTGAGGGTTTCTTTGAGTTTTCCAAATGCTTCTTGTTTAGATATGCTCTACACAAATTCTTTGTCCTTATGCAGGAGGGCAGTGAGAGGGATGACAAGAGCAGAGAATCCTTATACAAACTTTTTATAGTAACTTGCTAACTCTAAAAAGGATCTAACTTCTGATACATTGATAAGTACCAGCCAATTCTAAATGGTGATAATTTTTCAGAAATCCACAGTAATTCCTTCGATAGAAATGTAGTATCCAGTATATTCAACTTTTGAGTATAGCAATTCACATTTCTTGGCCTTGGCATATAGTTGGTATTGTTGCAGGATAGTCAAAACAGTTTTCAGATGTTGCAGGTGATCTTCTTTGATTTTGCTGTAGATCAAGATATCATCCAGGTACATGATAATAAAATCATTTAGGTACTTTCAGAAAATATCATTTATTAGTATCATAAACATTGTGGGGGCATTGATCAATTCAAAAGACAATACAAGAAACTTGTAGTAATCATATCTGATTCTAAAAACAGTCTTTGATATATCTTCTTCTTTGATATAGATTTGATGATATCTGGAATACAGGTTGATCTTACTGAAGTATTTGGCTTCAGCCAAATGATCCATGAGTTTTTCAATCTGGAGTAGGGGTACCGATTCTTGATGGTAATCTCGTTAAGGGCATGATAGTTAACATATAGTCATAACATTCCTTCTTCTTGTATACAAAAATTACTGAAGCACCAAAGGAGGAAATATTTGATCTAATAAATCCTTTATTTGATAGTTTAGCCAACTGTTTCTTGAGTTTATCTATTTTCACATATGATAGATGTTAGGTGAGTCTTGATTAAAAATAGGTCCCTAAATTATTTGATAGAGAC